GGGGTTGATATAATCCCAGGGAAGGATAAAGGGGCTACGGAGCAGAGAAGTATTGAGATTCGAGGCCGGAAAAAGCTCTGAGAGGCTGGCTCCGGGCGTTCCCAGTCTCTGGAAGCTGCCTTCACCTTCTCCTTCCCCTCACCCCTCTTATCCATCCTGCATGCTACCCCTCACTGACCCCCAGACGCCAGCATGCAACATTATCTCTTCATGAGTCCCTCTGAGGATTTAGGAATTTAGAAAAACTTCTCCAGCACCTACCCATCTCTGCCTCTGAGGAGGCCCTGTAACCTCTGTGTGGAGGAGGGGAAGGGGAGGGGTAGCGATGAAGGGTCAGCCATATCGTACATCTGGTGAAGCAGGGGTTTAGAATAGGCCCCGGACATTTAAGAAGCTTCCCTGAGTGCAGGGACCTACCGGTGGCTGGGTATTGGGTGCCCATCCCGAGGAAGCCGCGTGGTTTCTCCAGAGATGTATCTGAGACGTGACAGTAGCTGCCAAGGCTCATCAAACATGCCATCTACCTACTTCTGCTGATACATGCGAGAACAAATGATATTGCCAGAAGGAAACAGAAAGTGTTTCCTAGTGACTCAGAGCCCCAGCGATGAGGACACAGGTGGTATTTGCACTGCATCTTCCAGTTGAAATGTGCACTTCTTCACAGAAAGGGATCTATAAGTAATCAAATAGATCAAAGACCAGAATTTGGACTCTGGGCAAGAGAACAGCATCAACATCATACTGACCACCCAGCAAGTGTCTGCTGTGTATCAGCACAGGGCTGGGAGCTTTGCAAGTGTTCTCTCTTTTAATCTCACTCAAGCTTTGAACTCACACCAAACAGGGTCCGAATCCTTGCTCAGCCACTGTGTGGCAGTGGACAAGTTACTTAACTTCTCTGAGCTTTTGTCTTTTTTTTTTTTTTTGGTTCGTTTTTGAGCTTTTGTCTTCAAAATACTGATAATAATACTTACCTCAGAGAGTTGTAATGAATGTTAAATGAGATCATTTATGTAAAATGACTGGTCCGTAGTAAATATTTGGAGAAGGAACAAAGCACATCTTTTGATACCTGAGCCATAGAGGGTATTTAGTGTAATTGATATTACCATATGAATATGATTATTCTTATTTATAACCTGGAAACGTAGGCATTATTATATCATTTGAAGAGAGGTTAAATAACTTGCTCACAGCAACACTACAAAAGCAGGCCTGGGACTCAAACCAGTTTTGCTTCTTCCCACCCACTTTTAGAGGACACTTCATGGTCATTAGGGAGACCACGTTTGGCTGACCTGATCTAGACATTACATTTAAACTAAAATTTGAAGGAAAAAAAGCCCTTAGATTAAACACTGCATAGTGGGATTCCAGGTCATAATCTGGACTATTTGCATATCATAGGCCCTGTATTAACCTTTTTAAAACATTTTTATATTACAAGAGTAATGTAAAAACAAACTTGATAAAGGTTTTAAGAAACAGAAATAACTATGGCACCCACTTAATAGAATCTCATACTTTACCTTGTTGCTGAATTTTCTTCCAGTCTTTCAAAAATGCATACTTGACACAATTGTAATCATACTGTTTCCCAAATTGCTACATAGTCTTCATGAACACCATCTTTATGGCTGTAGACTAGTCTAACAAGTGGTACGTCATAGAGTCTGTTTAACTGTTCCGCTAGTGTGGAATGTTTAGGTTATCTTAGTAGATAAGTGTGAAGAAAGGAACAATGTTGCTTTCACCATTGCCATAATCACCTTCAGGGACCTGGTGTCCTGCTCTATCAATGCCCAATACGCTTTTCGTCATTTGATATTTAAGCTTAATGAATGTCAGCTCTACTGCTGGAGCCTGAGGTACTTTTTGCAAGAGTATTATTTTCAGCCAGTCTTCATCACACAGATTCTGTATTTTAGCCTCATGGTGGGTAAAGTGTGGGCTAACCCAAGAACCTAAGCTCTGAAAAATAATCCTGTTACAGCTCAACCAGGCCTGGTCTTAGCAAATTGGTTAGGTCCCGTCTCCAAGAAAAGATCAAATTTGTATGTAAAATGGGCCCCAGGGTCCCTTCAGCTTTAGAGTTTTGGCTGCTTTACAGAAGTCCAACTGTCTGAGGCTAAATCCAATGCCAAAAATGAACTGGAAGAGAGAATTTCAAGTGCGTCAATCGTGCTGTCCCTTTCCCTGGGAAAGAAGACCTTTCTGGGCCACCATTCTTCCCAGATCTCAATGATGCCTCGGCCAGATGTCTTCATATGGCTGTCCGTTGTCCACTGCTACCCTCAAAAGATTACTCTGACATACCAACTATCTCCTGGGAAAGCGGGGGTTGGTGGGTTAAAGCACATTTAGAATACTTCCCCCACTCTTTCCAGTCAGTGGCCAGCTACTTCCCCCCACTTCTGACTCCAGAGGATTTCTGGAAGACATCCGAAGGGAGGCACCCAGGGCAATTATAACCCTACGGAGTACCAATAGTTACGCTTCATGTTGCATGGCATTTGTCAGGAGGAATGCAATGAATGGGTTCTTACCTGGTCAAAAAAACTGTACCTAGAGACTAATTACTTATTGCATAGTGATATTGTGTGACTTACATGAGATCATACATGTACAAGACTGAGGCTAGCGCCCAGCATCTGGGAAGCGTGTCACAGATACTGGCTGCTATTGGATGCATATAGAGCTGGTGTAGGCAGTGGTGTGCCAGGGGCATATATGGGGGGACAGATCTTACCAGACTGGAAATTCAGTAGCAAACCTAAAATCTTGCACTTGTGTTCAAACACCAACTAAATACAGAATGGAGCCTCTGAAAAGAACTTGAGTTTACTTTTTTTTTTTTAAAGGAAGCTTCAGTCGAAAGTACTTCCAATATACATAAACTACTTGTGTGAACTGTGTAGCATGTACGTGGGATTTGTGTGTAGGATGTGCATGTGTGGTGTGGGCATATTGTACTGTGTGTGAAAAGTACACGATGTGTGTGAAGCATGTGTGTTTGCACATTCGTGATTTGTATGTGGGCATGTGTGGGTGTGGGAATGTGTACGTATGTGCGTATTTATGGCTACATATCTGTATACCATGAGTATAACGTACGCTTCCAAAAGAGGGAAAGTCAGCCGTCCAGGACTATATTTACGGGGGCACAGCTGGAAATCCTCTTTTGGCTAGGTCACTAAGCATTCACAACTTGGAGTGTGTTCAAAGAAGAGCAGCTAGATGCGGGTAGGAGCCTTGCAGCCATGTCACATGTTAAACAGATGAAGGAACTGGGGAGGCTGGGCCTGGATAAGAACATGGGTGAGTGGGGGTGGGGGAATGGGGAGGGCTGGCGCTATTCCCTTGGAAGGATCATGAAGGTCAGTGCTGGGGCCAGAAGGACATAGATTTGGGTTCGGTTTAAGGAAAAGCCTTCAAATTCTAATAGACAAGGGTGTCATTAGATGGGGATGGGCTTCCTTGTGTGATATTAACCCCCTCCCAATGGGGTTATTCATAAAGGAACCATCTTATCCTTGATCTCACTGGAGTCACAGGACAACCTTGTAGGCCAGGTAGGCGTGGAACGGTTCCCCCTACCCCTTTTTGAGGATGGGGTGCCTGAGCCATAAGGCCTTAAAAGGCATTTATATAAAACTCCTTCCCCCCTTCTTTTTTTTTTTTTTGATTTACCAGGATCACATAAACCTGAAAGAACGTACAGAACAAAAAGTTAAACTTTCTGTGTGTGTGCAGATCTCTTTCCTTCTCAGAGATCTTGTGGCTTGCCAGAGATTGTACTTGAATTTGCTAAGCAAGCTGTAGCCCCTTAGCAATACCTTGGACTCCTGAGATGGTTCTCAGCAGGGTGCTGAGGCTGACAAGAACTAAAAACAAGTTTTTGCTGAAATAAGTTGCTGAGGCCCACCTTCTCCCTGCCGTTCCTCCCCCCGCCTATGAGGGGCCAGAGGAAAGAGGAGACAGCCCCAGGTTTGGTCTATGGCTGGTGACCAATGACGCACTCTCACCAATATAGATTTTGGAGGTGGAGACTATGGAAAAACAGGTGGCAGTGGGGGCAGGTGGCAGCCTGGAAGGGGTGGGGCCTACCAAGGGGGAGTGAAGGACAGCGTGGGTGGGGGTCCTGGGAAATCTCAAAAAGAAAAAAAATCAGTCTCCTGAAACTTTAAGGAGGAAAAAAAATAATCGGTTTCCAAAATGTGCTTCATAGAAGCAGTTCCACAAAAGGGGTGAAATGCCACCCACATATTTTGATCCGTGCTGTGATCTTTGCACACCTATGGCCTCAACTCCACAGGGAAAGAGGAACTGAGCATTGATTTCAAGCACCCAAGGAAAGACCCAGACTAAAGACCCCAGGTCTCCGCCCCTGGGCAGTTTGGGGCAGTGGGCAGTTGGCAGGGCTTCAGCAGAACCAGATTTGCTGCCAACTCCTTGTATGACCTTGGGCAAGCCTTTGCCATCTCTGGGCTTCAATGTCGCCATCTCTTAAATGAAGGGGTTGAATTCGACGACTCTAAGGGCCCCACGGTGATATTCCGTAGTTAAGATTGGGATTCGAGGGACAAGCTTCGGGCAAAAGGACCTCCCCCCCCCAATCTTCAGAGTCCCTGGGCCCTGGCCGCCCTGCCAGGGACGTTCCCCCTCGGGACTTTAGGGACCTTGGGCTGCGGGAGGGGGCGTCGGGCCCCAGGGCTCCGCCGTCTCCCCGCGCGGCCAAGCCAGCGACTCCGCCCCCGCGCTCGCCCCGAGTCCCGCCGGGCCATTAGCGCGATTGCTCGCGGTTCCCGGCAAAGCTGGTGATTTATGCGGGGCCTCGACGGGGCAGTCCCTGGAGCCAGGAACAATTAGCTAAAAGCCAGCGGGAAGGGAGGCGAGGCGGCGGCGCGCCAAGCCCCAGGGCGCCCTGCCGGGGCTGCAGCCGCCGGCCGCCCCGGGCCCGAGCACCCTAGCCCCCCGACTTGGTGGTCCCCACTCACCACGGCGGGGGCGGGGCTCAAAGGCCGAGGCGAAAAGGCAGTCCAGGATCCACGCCATGACCCGCGCCGAGTGCCCGCCGCCTCGCAGCTGGCTTCCGCGCCGTCCCCGCACAGGGCCGCCCTAAGTAGCCCCCGGTGACCACGCCCTGAGCCGCACCCTGCACCCAGCTCGGAGTGTCTTGGTCACCGGACACCTCGGGCTTGTCACGAAGGGGGCAGGGCCTCAGGGGAGCCCCCCTCCCTTCCGCGGGAGGAGAGGCCGCCGATCCCGCAGCCCCTTCCCCCACCCGGAGGGAGGCCAGGATGCAGGTCCTGTCCCGGGGAGCTCACTCTGAGGGCGGGACCCTGCCCCTACCCCGGGGAGCCCCGAGTCTGAGGGGAGACGCCACCTCAGCCCCGGTGAGCCCCGAATCTGAGTGGGAGGGGAGGTCTCTGCCCCCGGGAGCCCTTGATCGGGTGCGTAAAAGCGGGCCTGCCCCAAGGAGCTGGAATTTCCAGGCGAGATGGTGCACCTGTCCCAGGGAGCCTCAGATCTGAGGGGGAGGCTGTATCCCAGCCCTACAAACCCCCACGTTTGCGGGGACACATCATCTCAGTCCTCGGGAGACCCAGTCTAGGGGGGAAGCGGTGTCTGCCTCAGGAGCCATGAATCTGAAGGGGAGGGACTGCCTCAGCCCTGGGGAACCTTCTGTTTTAGGGGAGGCATCACCTCAGCCCTGGGTAACTCCAAATCTGATTTTAAGTCACTGTTCCATTCTACAGAACCAACAATGTGAGTAGGAGAAAAGAGCTTTGCCCCCCAAGGAGCCCGAAAGCTGAGAGTATTTTACTGCCCCTGTCCTGCCGTTCCCTCGGGGAAGAGGGAGATTCTATGCTTCCTAGGAACCTTCGTTTTTAGGGAGTTGATCTCCAAGAGAGACGAAAGAACGCAGTGTCAAGTATGTATAAGTATGGGGTGCTCCCAGTTGCCGCTGACTTACAGATTGCGCCGCCTATACTTTTTGCTCAGGGCACTGGCATAGGAGGGGCACCAACATTTATTTTTAGAAAGAATTTGATATTTGATATTTCAATGGGGAGGTGGTACTGTGTTGGATTTTATTGCACTTCTTCTGTGACTTTGTATTTTTAAATTTTAAATACATATGGGGGCAAGTACCATAATGGGTTCAGTGTTTAGGGCATCTGGTAGTAGTAGACCAGCCCTGAGCTGCTTAAGTCCAGAGGCCCAAATTCATTTCTCCCCCAATCCTCCATTGGTAGTTGTAGGGACGTGACTCTGTGCCTTGTTTTTCTCCACTGGGAAAATGGGGCTCTGTCGATCAAAATTCTAGTGAGGAGGTAGCAAGAAATATGAAAAATCCTCTTCCAACAGCTCGATTTCAGGCCAGAGGAGTGAAAACTGCAATCACGGGTCCTTTGGGGAGAGCAGTTATTACATTTGCTTTGTTAACCATTGATATTAGCATTAATGCAGCAGAAGGGGTGCATAACAGGGAAGAATCACCTGTACTTTGTCATGCAATTCTTAGCAAAGTTGAGCTCTAGTCAGAGTTTAAAGGGCTTCCTTCCACTCATTTGCCTGCCTTTCTGGGAAACATGGTACCTCTCTGCCTTTGCACCAATTTTAAAATCATTTCCAATTTTCTCTGTTTTCTAAAAGCAATCAAAGACAACAAACATTCACCAGACCTGTTCTTTTACCAATTTCTGCTGTACAAATACCCAGTCATCCAAGCCAAACAAGTCTGACATCTAGAAATGTCCAGTTTCAGGCCTTGGATATTGAAATCTCGGCCTTACCTCTTCCCATGAGCTTATCCACCACCAGCTTTTGTCATGGCGTCCATGGGTTTCTTTCCCCCCACCCCCAGCTGAATGAGTTTTTTTTTTTTCTTTTTTTGGCTCCCTCATGGGGAGGCTGCCTGCCCAGTCCCATCGAATGGGCCTCAGCAACTGAAGTTTCTCTGCTTCCAGAATAGCTCTGCTAGAGGCACAAACTCATGACAACTATCCTCTTTTGTTGCCTCTTTCTGTAAGAGATGTGATGTGGTAAAGGGATAATGCTAAGGATGCTCATAGACCTAGACTGGAAGCCCAATTCTGCTATGTACTAACTATGTAATCTCAGGAAAATTATTTAGGAAGCCTTTCTGAGGCTTGGTTTTCCTCATCTGTAAAATGGGGATATTAATAGTTGTGAACAAGCTCCAGACAAACCAAGGCCAACTCTTTGGGAAAAAAAGAGGGAGAAATATAAGTTCAGAAATCTCAAGAAAATGTACTTAACAGTTGAATTAGCAATTCTCCCCCCCCTTTTCTTTGACCTACCTCCTCTGCCACTTAATTACTTAGTGTTCAGTTTCCTCTGAAAATCTTTACCCTTAACTAAATGTCACATAAAAGGGGAATGCATCCATTCATTCGACAAATATTTATCAAATGTTCTCTGTATGCAAGATATTGAGCTATGTATATAATGTTGATTCACTCAGTGAATGATTGCATAATTATTTTCAAGTGTATAGTTTGAAAGCCTATACGATAACCTGAAAATACACTTGTGATTATTTTAAATGATAAATAATCAAAATGCAAAATGTGTGCACATTATTATATAAGCAGTACAAAGAAATAATAAGCCTATACATAGGGGAAAAAAAAGCTAACAGGAAACACACCAGAATCTTAATATTGATCCTATTTAAACAATGCAATTATGGGCAATTTTAACTGTTTTATTATTTCCATATTTTAGTATTTTCCAAACTTTCTTTAATAAACATATATTATTTCTAGAGTTAAAAAATACTACTTATAGAAAAGAAAATCTGTAGCCTTGTCTCTGCTGAAGAAAGGATAGGGGAGTGACTGGTGCCTTTCGGCTGGGGTTGTGCTGTTGGTGCAGGGCACTGGGGCTGGCTTTGGTGACCCAGAAAAAGCTGAAAGTTGGTCTGTGAGTAAAATGCAGGACTTCTTTCCTGTGTGGAGGCACATAACCAGTTATGACCCCTCGTTCCCAAGAATGCAGAGGCCCTTAGCAACCGCCTCACACTGTCGGAAGCCGGCTAGCCTGAACTTGCAACCTCTCACCGTAAGGTGTGTGCTCACAAGGGGCATGTTGGGTGTATCTGCCCTCACCCTGACATCCTAGAGCTTGACAGCTTGTTGCCTCTGCAGGGTCTTTCGTTGCAATTCCAGTTAAGAGCTAAGCACCCTGCTCCTTACTTAGGTCACTGTCTACCATGAGGTCTTTAGCAGGAAGAAAACATATTTTAACTGAGAAGAAGCCACGATGATGAAATCAAGCTAGGGGCTTGTTGACTGTGAGAAGGAAGGCTTCAGACCTTCCTATCTTTTTTCCCTGAAGCTCAAAAGTACTTGTCACCCAGGCAAACAGTTGCTAATTGAGATTTCAAGAATGAAAGCTTGTCATGAATCAGGGTTTCACAAAATATGGCCCATCACACCGGATGTGTCAGAATCACTTTGGATGTTCTGTAACAATGCCGATTCCCTGCCCCCACTCGAGACCTACTGAATGAGAATTTCTGGGCATGGAGACCAGAAAACAGCATTTTTAGCAACCTCCCCACAGGGGCTTTTATATCCAATAAAGTTAAAGAAACTCTAGTATAGTGGAAAGATCTCTTTCCCTGAGAACCCTTGAACACCATGTGTCCCCATTGCACTCCAGCTACAAGGAGTACTAGGGCAGCCATTTGGAGAACTTGATCCCTTGAACCCCACTCTACTTCCTTTTGGGGTGTGGGTAAATAAGTAGCAGAAAAAATGGAACAAACCTCAAAACTTGATGGGGTCTAGTGATATTCAAAATGAGCATACTCATAAAAGTCATCCATTTGGATTTTGTGAGAACCTTGGTGTATGTCTATATAGCATTTTTCATTTTATTTAATTTTTTTAAATTTTATTTTATTATGTTATGTTAATCACCATACATTACATCATTAGTTTTTGATGTAGTGTTCCATGATTCATTGTTTGCGTATAACACCCAGTGCTCCATGCAGAACGTGGCCTCTTTAATACCCATCACCAGGCTAACCCATCCCCCCACCCCCCTCCCCTCTAGAACCCTCAGTTTGCTTCTCAGAGTCCATAGTCTCTCATGGTTTGTCTCCCCCTCCTTTATTTTTCCCTTCCTACTATCTTCTTTTTTTTTTTTTAACATATAATGTATTATTTGTTTCAGAGGTACAGGTCTGTGATTCATCAGTCTTACACAATTCACAGCACTCATATAGCATTTTTCAGTCTGGTTATCTCATCTGGACTCCCTACTTGTTGGGTTCCCTTGAGTCGCACAAAGGCAGCTGAAGTACAGTGGAAAGAGCATGGCATTTAAAGTTAAAATATCAGGGGGGGAGGCTGGGCATGCTGACCGACTGGAAGGATGAGTACAATAGGTCTGCTACCCAACCTGAGGGCCAGGTTCCTCCTCTATTAATGGGGATCCCCATCCCCTTGCCCCCTCCCTCAACAGGTTGTTATGAAGGTCTCTGTGATTTCAGGGATGAGATGACAAAGGATTCTGCCTCCAGGGCCCTGGATGGAATTGGTAGATTAGCAACCCTCTTTCCCAGTACCTCCTTTTGAGGAGTCCCAGTAAAAGGTTTACATGGTGTGCACAGGGATCATATGTGCTCTTGAAAAAGGGCTGTTAGCCTTAGGACCTCAGGAATTTGCCTCTCTGCTTTTCTGTTTGGGAAAGATTTATCTGGGCTCATGGTAAATATAGCGAAATTATGGGGGTGGGGTGAGCTCCCTCATTTCTCAAATGGGGATATACGAGGAAAACTTGAAGTTCCTTTCTAGCTACTTAGCATTCCTAGGATACACTGCTTCCATAGCATATTTTTCCTTCCAGAACTCTATTGCTTCCAAGCATTTTCATATAACCAAAGCCTGACAAGGTCCTGGCACTATCTTTGCGAGGTAGAAATGGGAGAGAATTATTCCCATTTTTTCAGTTAGAAAAACTGAGGCTAAAGACAGTAAGTGACTAGCCCAAAGCCAGCCAGAAGAGGAGAGATGAACCAAGACCAGCGTCCGGATCTTGTTCCCCCCTCCCGTTGCCACCCCATTCTTTTCCAGTACCCCTCACTAGATCCCAGGAGCTGTCTGTCAGTGTGCTGACACCACTCAGGAAAATGCAAGTTTCATCCTGACACCAGGAA